TATATATATTGTAAGAATTTTAGTTGGATTGACATAATTTATATATTAATATAAATCGTAAGGAAACTGATTTGTAAAGAGAACAGAAAGGATTAAAAAACAAATACCCGGCGGTGCTCATTGGTCAGGACGTAGTTGTCTGGACCAATCAGGGTGCGGTCCACTGATGGCCAGTCCCCCATTTAAACTGGTAAGGGCAACGTCCGCATTGATTTATCGCTAATTTGTCTCCACTCACTTTAGCTTTCAGGTTGTTTTGAAGACTGGGAGTTCTCCCAAGTTACGTGTGTAAATACAAGTCACTTGGGATTGAAAATATTACGTTCAGATCCAGATTAAGTTACTTAGTTACTCCAGCCTTGTGATCTGTTAATAGTTTAGTACTTGGAAGGATTTTTAAATATATTTTTCCATTTGAAGGGTTTTGTCAGTAAATAGAAATATGAATTTTACGTCGATGCACATTTTTATCACTGGCGTCGTCCCATGATTTGGCGATGGTACTGAAATGTGGATTATTTTGCCCATAGATTTATAGAGGTGAGTAAAAAGTTTTCAACCTCTGCGTAGGGATGTCGTCCCCAGCCCCTCTCGTATTAATCTATGGGGTAATTTATATACATGAGTATACTGTATTTTATTATAATAATTTTGTTATTGCGTGTATATCCTAAATTGTCTTTATTATTCAAAATATGTGAAGTATCAAAGATAAAAAAATGGTTATTTAAATTTTATTCTTGCAATTCTTAGTTTATTTACATCGCCTGTCTTTTTGTTTCAAAATTTATGGTGCAAAATTAATTTTTTTAGATGTATCCCGCCATTTTGTCTCCCGTTATATGTTGGAGTAACATTCGTGACTGATGAAAAATTTGAGCTATAGTACATTTGTAGATGTAGCTATGGAATATTATCTTGATTATTCTTAAACACAAGCTTTCCTGGGTTTAGGAAAATAAATATTCGCAGGACGAAAGCCACAAAAAGTACCCTGAGCCAGAATTGTGACTTTTATCTGTTTTCCCGTTTTGTTGTGTATATGATAATACTCTTCATCTTAACATTGTAATTAATTTAATATTATAATTTGAGATAATACCGCAAGTGATAATTTGTTCTGTAAAACCTAGGAAAATCTATTATACTGTTTTGGGGATAGGGTTAGATAGCTTAGTGATTTCTCACAAGTCACATTAGAACACATTTGACTTACATAAATTACTAGAAAAACTATGTCGACCAAAAATGGCAATAAGGGGGAAAAAAGGGTTAATTCTAAATAGTATTAATAAATCTTTCCGCACCAAGACGTAGCAGCTCGGCAGATATTACCACCCACGCAGTCACTAACTAACACCCATGAGAATAATATTATACTCTACACAGTTACAGTATATTCACAGGAGGAGAATTTAATGACCTCTGACGGAGAAGAAAAAAAGAACAATACAAACGCTGATCAAAGAAAGTGACAGGGAAGGTTGTTTACGCGCTGATAAATTCTCCCGTAACGGTGGAAGAAAGAATTTTACCGAGATACAATATTATACGTATTTGGGTTTTGCGCGATCATGTTTCTATGTAGTTTTACGCTTGAATTACATGTATTCAATCTACATATGTATCAACTAGGTTCTGTAATCAAAAATAAAATCATAACAGCGGTACGATATATTTTATGTGACTTGAGTCTTCAATGTTGGCAATATATTGGGCCGCCGTCTTTGTGAACGTAGCTAAAATGCGAGCCGGGTTATAGACGATCTCACATCTCTAGTTTGAAGAAAGAAATAACCCACGAGCCTCTGAGAATCCGGCTTTAGGTATTACAAAGAACACAGTTATCGGAGTAAGTCTGTTAAAGCAAATCTAGCATCTTCATCGCTGGGTGTAAAAGAATGTGCCATAGCTGGAGCCTTTATCTCTTTTCGCGCCCCCTTTTTTTTAAGTCCCTTTTGCTGTTTATGTATTCTAATACTACAAAAAAGTAGTAATTTTTCTTGTATTGTGTTTCCTCCGGGTTAAGATAGTATTCGGTGTGCTAAAGTGATCGTTCAGCGGCGAGGTGTTTCACTCGGGGCGGCGCGGTCTGGCTGGGTGGAAGACGGTCTGTAAACGGTGGTCCGGCGTCGCACAGGTTTGGGGCGGGATGAAAGGAGACGAAAAAGACGTCATTTTTCTTCTTGTGCAAGTCCTTTGTGACGCGGGCCCGAATTAGATTAGTCCCCACTTCCCAGAGCGGGGTTACTTTAATTGAATTTTAAGCCATAAAATTGTAAATGTGGCCATATATATATATATATATATATATATATATATATATATATATATATATATATATATATATATATATATATATATATATATATATATATATATATATATATATATATATATATATATATATACTATTAAACGGAAAACCCTTGGAAGCCCGCTAGTAATATATGGTGTAGTAACTTATGTGAAAATCCGTTTTATTTGAATTGAAAACACAAAGAAAAGTTACACATCGTCACAGAAACCATATGGGTATTTTTTCGGACAACTTACATAAAACTCTTAGGTGATTGAGTCTTTATGTAATCTGATTTATGATCTGTTAAGTCTTCCCTAAGAGAATGTTGTTAAGGGGGGACTTATTCTTTACCCAGAAATATTAATGGTGTCTTCAGAAGACGAGTATTTAATGTTTTTTTTTTTTTAGTCTTCATTTAAGTAATTAAGTTATCACATCTGAGGCAATTAAACTGATGTTTCAGGGGCGGATCCGGGGGTCCTGGGGTCCGGGAACCCCCTTCCCCCTCCCTGTTCATCAGAAAATTCCAATGCCTTTTCTTCAAGGCAGCATTGTACTCAGGCATTTTTATAGTAAAAAAAAGTAATTACTCTTGACCTCAGAATATCTCCTAATATCAAGTGCACATGGCCTCAAAATGCCCACGATATTGGTCAGATTTCAAAACAATTTCTGGGTGAGCTGCCTGTGCTTGCCATGTTTCCCCACCCACAACTTCTTGGACCCCCCATTTTAAATAACTGAATCTGCCCTTGTGCTTGGCTGACTTGTACATTAGTTCAATATGACCAGATCCCTACTCCCCTCTTCAAGAATTGTATGAGGTCAAAGGTAAAAATGCCTCAATATTATATACCTGTACTGTATTGTGAGCTATTCTCCGCCGTATTTAGACCAGTGAGGAGGAAAGTTAATGTGCCTATAATTTAGTACTGTATGATGATATTTAACCCTTTGAGGATGATGGTCTAACCCTTTGATGACGAGTACATAACCCTCTGAGGATGATGGTTTAACCCTTTAACGACGAGCAAATAACCCTTTGACGATGATGGTTTAACCTTTTAACGACGAACATATAGCCCTTTGAGGATGATGGTTTAACCCTTTGACGAGTATATAAGCCTTTGAGGATGATGGTTTAATCCTTTGACGACGAGTATAATAACCCTTTGAGGATGATGGTTTAACCCTTTGACAACGAGTATAATAACCCTTTGAGGATGATGGTTTAATCCTTTGACAACGAGTATAATAACCCTTTGAGGATGATGGTTTAACGAATCGAGATTGGTGCACTTTTCTCGCTGTATAGATGTCACAAAAATGCTCAGTGTGTGTCTTTGGGACCATTATTAATGTTGTAAATCAGGCTCGGACCATGTGCTTGTGCGGCCCATGGAGTAATTGAGAAATTCTATTTAATGTGGCCCGTGGCTCTGGTAGATGCAGCCAGTTTATGGTGAATAAAGCAATATTTATTAAAAGAATAATCTTCACACATAATTCGTTACTGTTTCATCACTTAAGAATAAGTAACAACAACGAAAATGTAACAGTGGTATAAGTACAGTATATATAGTCAACAATATAAACATTTTAACTTGGGTGAGTTTATGGGTCAAGTTCGGCGCAGTCTGTTTGTTGGATTAGCTGCAATGTGGCAGTGGGTAACTTGGGAATTATCTATGGTTGGGTAAGTCCAATTAGAGTCATGGGTGGTGGTCACACAAGGTACTTCCAGGATAACACAAAAACACCTAAATCGCACCTCGTAAACCCATAGTTGGCGAGTAATTAGCAGTAAAATAATGTAATTAAAAAGTTCCAAGCATCATTACGACCACTAATTACCCCACAATCAAATCATGGGTCATAGATTTGGAATCAACATGCTCAGGAGTACCTATACTGAGATTTTCAACGAAATAAAATTTTTGGCCGAAAAGGTCAAAATATGCATGCGGCTGGTGTGAGAGGACTCGGAAACACTGCTGAGAAATGGCTGACGAAGTTATGACTGTTCAGGGTTTGTTATAAGCTATTTAAAATACATTGAAAGTATAAATTGAAATAAAGGAAATTGCAAGTAAAAGTATATAGAAGCAAAAGCTAATATAACCTAAGAATAAGGTGAAAACGTGCCCAAATAACCACAAATCGCTGTATCCATAGGCGACTGTGTTTCGCTCACATGACACCACCAGCAGACTATAGTACATGTAAACACAGCATCTTGTGGTGGTCACGGAGATATGTGTACAGCCACGACCTGCACAGAGAAACAATGTACTGTACAGAGATCTACTGGATCCCTTACCATTTGGGGGGGGGGGGATACTGTACAAAAATAGCTTCCTACAGCCCCTTCCTCCCCCCACCCCCTCCCCCCCCAAAAAAAAAATATGCTGCACATAGATTTGGATATTTCGTGTTTTTGAGTTTTACACAGGTCAAATATCACAATAAATCGGTAAGACTAAATGATAGAGACAAAGTAAAAATGGTCCCCAATCAGTGATATAGTTGTAATGTGTCTTCAGGTAAATATTTTGGTGTTTTTATCAGTTTTACTTTTACCCCAGTGTCAGGTATCCATTTTCTCTATGTTATTTATTTACTCCATTAACTGGGATTGATTTTCTGAACGTCATTATTTCAATCACAGTTTCATTCACGATAAGAATTATTTCTACAGGCCAGTGTCGGCATATGCACTCTTCTTCCGAGACACCCAGGCCGCCATCAAGGGCTCCAACCCCAACGCGTCCTTCGGTGAGGTGTCCAAAATTGTAGCCTCCATGTGGGATTCCCTGGATGCTGACCACAAGAATGTTTACAAGAAGAAAACAGAAGCAGCCAAGAAGGAGTACCTCAAGGCTCTCGCTGCCTACCGTGCCAGTCTCGTGTCCAAGGTAAGGGAAGGAGTTGACTGCGACGTGGGTTTATTTATTTTTTATTGCCTGGTTTTCAGACTTGACTAACTAACCCAAGTGCAGTAATATCTGCCACAGCCGAATGATATGAGGACCACTCCCCAGCTCCTCTTACATAGTTGTTGTGGTGTTATGGAAATATACCTGTGATAAACTAAGGGGTTAAAACTGTAACAAATACACAGTACAGTATGAGGGAACTATTGTAATTCATTGAAAGGGAATCAAAGCTATGAAGGTGGAAGATAATGTAAAGTGTTGTATGTTTAGTGAAAGTACAATATCCTATACTGTACAACATTGCACATTTTCAATAGTTTACATTCTTGATAAAAGTATTTGTATAATGTAGTTGCAAGTTTAATATTTTCGGGTTCAGTATTTTATTTTTGTTTGTTTTTTTGCATAAGATTTTATTGTTATCTGCCTCACTTTCGTTGTTATCTGGCATAAAATGGTCCGACTTATTGTGTTTGTCTTCAATCATGTTCGGCTGTGAGAGGATTTACTGCAACGCTGCACTGTTGTCAACATGTTAGCTTAAGCTTTTAACAAAGTTTGTGTGGGAATGAATGCAATTGAAGTGACTATTTACCGGAAGCGAGCCATTGCTTAGGTTTGAGTGTACAATATACTGACTCTACTAAGCTGTTAATTGACTGACAGATTGTAACTGCATGAGAGCCTGCTTGTGGCATATTAACCAATGTAACCATTGCTTTGTACCAGTGTACTTGTGACGAGCTTGTTAATGCTACTAGAGTGAGGCGTGACCCCTGGCTTGTGTTACAGGGCGGTGAAGGTGAGGGAGTTTACGGGGCACCTGGGTATGGTCAGTTTGCCCCAGGGTTTGGATATCCTCCCACCACTAGCGCCCCAGGACACCCACAGGTTCAGTCGCCCACACAGATGTCACCACTGGCTAAGAAGTCTCCTCTACTCTCTTCTCTTATGGCTGATCCACCCCCACCTATGATGAACCCACCAATGTCACAGCCCATGCCACCTTCTGGCCCTCCCATGATGCCTCATGGTTCTATGCCACCCATGTCAGCAGCCAGTATGGCTCCTCAGGCACAGCAGGGCCCCCAGGGTGCCCTTCAGCCACCCACACCACAGCCACACCTGACGCCCCTGACCAACGTACCTTCTACCTCTCCCTACATGAACCAGGTATAGCTCGTCCTAGCCCAATTAGCTTCCTGTCACGCTGCTTCAGCACTGTTCTGACTTCCCAGAGGCAGCATCATATATACAGTACAGTATTCTGCATGAGTAGGGAAAATAACAATAATGACTAACAAAACTTCTTTGGTATTACGTTGACATAAAATGTAATTTTGGTGTGTGAACAATACAGATTAACATGCATACAGTACTGTACCTGTACTGAATATGGAGTTTTAACATAGAATTTATTGTAAAATCATATTTTTTCGTTGTGATAAATGTTTCTTGCAATAATCAGCAGGCACCTGGACCTCTGACGAGTCCTGGAGGTGGTGGCTCCCCGGGTAGTGGCCAGCAGCACCAGACCCAGCAGCAGAGCCCACAGCAGCAGCAACAACAACAACAGCAGCAGCAGCAACAGCAGCAGCAGCAGCAGCAGCAGCAACAGCAACAGCAGCAGCAACAGCAGGCTGCCACACAGCAACAACAGCAGCAGGCAGGACAGCAGCAACATCAGCAACAGGGTGGACAACATGGCCAACAGCAGCAGCCTCCACAACAACCACAACCACAACAGCAACAGCAACAGCAGCAACAGCAGCCAAGTGGACAAGGTTCGGGTGGACAGCAGCAGGGCATTGGTCAGCCAGGACATATAGGTTGTCCAAACTCTGTATCAAACTGCATCAGGAATGGATGTACCAATCTTGCTGTGCACAACCCAGAGTGGGAGGATGAGTACTGCTCCAATGAGTGCGTTATCTCACACTGCAGGTAAGGAGGCCTCTCCTTACTTATTTATGTCAGCATAGATTAGATTATTGTAATAATGTATCTATCTATTATCAAGTAGGAGTACATGTCATTCCCAGCTGATGGGATAAAACAAATGCACTAACCCTACATATACTGTATACAAATACAAAAGTACACATGGAAGAACAGTACTGTACAGTACTTTCTAGTTATCCAAAATCAGTAATAATAATAATAATCATGAAGAACATAATGATACAAATCATTCTTCATATTTTCCCTAAATTTGTGAAGATTTTTTGTCTGGTGTTAGTTTGTGTGTAAGGAACAGTTTTAAGTTTTGTCAGGACAGAAGTTTCTAAACTAACTATTGAACACCCCAAAAATGCAGTATTTGTTTTTAAATACATACTGTATATATACCACTAAAATTATTGAATTGATTTACAAAATTCAGAATTTTGATAACTGCTGTATTTGAGTGTGTGCTGTAACAAGTGAGCACATTAGCAAACATCATAACCCCAGTCCTGTCATAACAAGGCAGGATTGCTTTTAAAATTGTTTATTTGTACAGTCATGGTCAAAAGCCCCGTCACTTTTCCTGCTGCTCCACAAACCCTGAGATTCAGACTCATGAATCCAAAACATCCGTGTTCACTGCTTTGGGTTCACGTATCTGAATCTTAGGGTTCATGGAGCTGCAGGACTTTTGACCATGGCTGTACCTTTGATTGTAAAGGAAGTGAACAGTTAAACTTATTCCTTAACTCATGAGAATAAATATCAAGCTTTGTAAGTGTATAGAAGAATTTGGGAACTTGGGCATTACTTGGCCAGAATAGATCTTAGAAATTCACGGACTTGTAGATAATTTAACATACTGTCAGAAAAAAAAAAAAAATGCATTACAACATCAGCATTTTTTAAATATGTTATTAAGTAGCTTTATCATTAATTGTTGCCTTACATATTAATAGTAGTAGTTATTCTCAACAGACATGTCTTCAGCACTTGGGTGGCCAGCAACCATCAGCAGCCTATCAACCCAACTTACCCAGCGCCAGTTAAATAAAACCCTAGTGTATCAAGCTATGTCACTTGGGGACCAGCTAGCCAGCAGTCCAACCAATCAGTCAACTAGCAAGTCAGTCAACTGTGTGGGTTAAGCTGATGAAGACAGGTACCTGCTATTGAAATAAGTGCATGGAATTGAGTCTTTTTTTTTTTTTTTATTAAGGATGGACAAACACTTGAAGATGCTAGTTGATCTGGCATACATACAGATGCTAAGAGGAAGTAGAACAGCTGCAGATGGAGGACTGGAGTTGTGTTGTTGCGTGGTACCTCCTCATTCCCTAGATGTTGACAAACTGGGTGCTTGTATGAAAGTCAAGATTTTCTAAAAATAAAAAAAAAAACTTGTCAATGCTGGGACTTCAAAATAAGCATCTTTCTATCTGTTCAATCTTTTCTTGCTCTTTGTAGTGTCCCAAATGTATTATTCATACCCATCTGATTCTATTCTTCTTCTTCGACCCTAGATGAGAGAGTTCCAGAACAATCGAGTGCTGTGAAAGTGAGCATTTCATGTATTTTTTTTTTTTCATACTTATGAACAAGGCTGTGTCAACAAATGTAATGGGATCAGTAATTGCAGAACTAACAATAGATTCATTTTCCTATTGGTAATATAGGAAAAACGAGTCGTGGTGATTCGTAAGCCATAAACAGTTCCAAATTGCTAATCGCTTTACAAACAGTAATGCCAAACATGACCAAATGGATGGAGGGGACCAAAACTTTAAGTTAATCCTTTTATCATTAATGCTTTGTAACACAGAACAAATTATCAGAAATAAAGAATCAACAGAACGAACTACTATACACAACAAGTCTGGATTATCTGTCGCTCGTGACTGATTTCTTTCTCGGGTATATGTCATGCCCTCTTTCACAGCGTTTGGAACAATATTTTGATCATAAGAATTAAGTAACTCCAGCAGTAAATCATGTCTTAGGGAGCTGGGTTTGTAAATATTTGTGTTGATTTTTTCTTGATAAAGAGAGAGAGAGAGAGAGAGAGAATTATGATTACGATTATTATAGATATAGTAACATTTACAATATAATTTGTAAATATTTCAACAGTATGTACAAGTGATTGGTGATTTTTCTCCTCAATGTGATTGAATTATGATGAGTTGGTGATTATGTACGGTATGTATGTATGTACATGTATCATAGTAGATTTGTCCAGAGGCTTATTATTTGATTAGCAAGGAGAACATCATTAGAATTGACCTGTTTGTCAAACTTGTATCAATTCCTTCCAAAGCAATCACAGGAGATGGAGACAGATGTAAAGCCTCCTGTGTTTGCCACCCCTGCATGCTGAGTGTATGCATAGCAATATCATTTGGCAGTTCCCAGGTTTTACTTCTGAATTTCAAGAGGTCTTCGGCCGAGTTTGTGTCAAGAGAACACATTGCTCAATCCTCACTGTACATAAAACTAATTTTTGGAGGACTGATAGCCGGTGCACCCTCTTGGGAGATTATATAACTTGATTTTTAAGTTCTGGATACAGCCAAGAGGAGACATATGATTTGCTTCTATTTCAAACTTTTTTTTATTCTTCAATAATATTTTCTCTTGGGTGAAGCTTGATGCAAAGCACTGCATGAAGAGAGATGTCTTATTTGGTGTATTATACACTAAAATTCAGGGAAATGGGATGTAGATGTAAAGTACTGATGATCACTTGTAAACTACCTGCCTTCACATCAGGTTTTACCCATGCTTGTAGCTCTTAGAAAAATCCTTCGGTCCTAGAATAAAATAAAAGTCAGTGTTTGCCCTTCTTATATAGCTATGGTAAATATGTTGATAAAATACTGTGCTTCATGAGACAGGCAGAGGCTCCACCACTCCACCACAGGTAACTCCTTTTATGTTCCATTTGCAGTGATTCCATTAAATACTGTACACTAAAGTTGCTTTTGTATCTTAGATATGAACAAATTGTTTGCTGTAGTTGAACAATATTAAACTGAACAATTGGAATCCTATATGATTTCTCGTGAAAAAAAAAAAGATATAGAACAAGTCAGTAAATATTTTAGAACAATAACCAGACAAATGAAGTAACACCTTTCATTGTGGCAGCAGTTGTGTTGGCCATTCTTGGGTGGTGTTTCATGTATTTAACTAATACTTGTTAGTTAATGGTTCCTTAAACTGTTTTCCAAAAATAAAATTGTTGTGGAACGGATTTGCCACAGGGCATAATTTTGAGGTTGTTGTGTTAATGTGTACGATGCCTGTGTGTGCTCTCTTTCACTTCTGTATTCACAATATAATAAACATTATACACAGATTCAATTATTATTTAACCTATTCCTAACATTATGAGAAATAGCAGTATGTATGCATTTGCTCCCATCACAATGATGCAAGTGATAATGAAACTACAAGAACTAGCTATTTTATTTATTGCAATAATACAGATGTAGGGTGGTAAGGCAGGGTCAAGGCAATGTAAGTGAAGAAACTTTACAAAAAAATATAAAGGCTAAAGTTAGAAGGACAATTGAGCACAACGACATGCGTAAGAGAAAAGTAAGACGAATAACTTTCAAGAGAAATACAGGCAGCCTTTCTATCCGAAACCTCAGATACTTTGACAAAACTCTTTCACATAATGTTTACAGAGTCTGCTGATACAAAATTATTGTGTACAAGAACATTGTAATTTTTTAAATTGTTAAAAAAAAAAATCATGGCACACTCAAGAGCAACAAGTTCTAAGTCATTCACATCTAACATGTTAAAAATACTTGGAAAATCTACAAAAAAAATTTCCAAGTTTAGTTTTTTAGTAAAAAAAAATTTGACCAATAGTTTGTAAATATTAAGATGCCATCATTGACATTGAATGAAATATGTTTGAAGGTAATCATAACAAATTAAGTTATAACTAACAGGAAATAAAGCTGAGATTCTATAAGTGGATTATAACCAATTTTGTAGTACACAGTGAAGTTGACGACAACTATGACACTACTTGAAGAACATATCTTACCAATGACTAACACGGACTAGGATCCCAAATAATTCTCCATTCATTAGATAATACAAACTGGTAAATTCCATTAGTATGAGTGAATTCTACCTAAAAATAGTAATCACAACTTTTTAAATAACATCTATAAACAATATGTAACCTAGCTAAACCACAGCTTGGGCTGAATAAATGAATATAAGATTAATGAAGTTTATGCAATTTGAAAAAAATGGTTGGCTTAACTGATGAGCAATAACTTATTGGTATACAACCTATATTTGCTGTTGCTAGTGTGGTGTTCATAAATCCAGTTGCTAACTCTTGTTAAAGGTTTTCCATTAGCAACTTTATCTACATTTTGTAGATGCACCAGAATGTTACATAGCACTCTTCCACACTATTAAATTTATTCATAAATCCTCAACCTGAATGAAAAACTATAAAATGATTTGATGCAAGTATTTGTCGAAGCAATCACAATCTTGCATTTATAAAATAAATCTTGATGAACTAATATCAAGATTTAACTGCTTGGTCCTCTACATCAAAGCTGTAACATATGTAATATATTACACACTGTACATTTTTATATACCAAAACTTACCGAAATATCACGGCTTCCATTGATATCATGATGAAAAGGCATTTTATAAAATTCAGTGATATGCATTTATCACTTTTTTTTTAACAAACTGTAATAAATATCAAAAGGACTCTTCTTTGATTATCTCTAAAATATGCTTGTGTGATAATACTACTTTTCTAAGAACAAGACATATGGTCTTCACATAAAATTTGAAGTAGTCAACATCATTCTTAGAGGGGTAGGCCTTCACCTATAATAATTCTTTTTAAAATACAATATTTACACTAATTTCTTAGCACTATAAAATCTTAACAAAAATTACAGAAGGAGTTACATCAGCTGCAATTTTACTGTCTGGAAACAGTCATGCTAACTTAACTGTGTGAACTATGAATATGATAAACATTCTTACTTTTCCCTAATTACATTGCTAAAAAAATAAGACCTCAAATGATATGAGGATAATCCTGTACTTGGTGATAAATTTTTAAGTAACTTTAATTGATAAATGATAAATAAAATAAAATAGAATCACAATATATATATATATATATATATATATATATATATATATATATATATATATATATATATATATATATATATATATATATATATATATATATATATATATATATATATATATATATATAAAAGGAGATGCTTAATACATCAATAGATCACTACAATAACCTAAATATTGTGATTAATGCTCTAGAGAAACTCCCAACTGAAAAATTAAACTGTCATTTTGTTACATAACAAAAAAGAATTTCTGGACACCTAAAACTTATGATAGGAGGAAAATGACGGTATATTTGGCAAACAGAAAATTTTAAATAAGGGATCTAATTCATAAAAAGATTGCTATATCTTGTATCATATTACAGTACCACCAGTAGAGACAGATTTGATAAAAGCTTGTAGAGATGCTTCCTTAGGCAGTGATGCAAACAGTGAAGAATTGTTAATATTTATAGACAGAATGACCTGATGTTTTCAGCATTACAGTCTAATGCTCTCATTTTCACTCTCCTTCCTGCTAAACAGGCGAGTCCGTGCAGAATTTTGTGTGGCCGTTGATATAACTTCCATCCAGCGGGAGAATGTAAACTCTGATTCGGCTCTGCGGAGTGGAAATATAAGTAACATGATGTAATATTTGGTAGTGTATTTACAATTTTTAAATGTACTGCTCTCCTTGTAACCTGTGACACTATTATGTTAGATCATCAGGTTTGTCAAAGGATAAGTCACTCACAAGGAAATCCATTTTTTTCCCTCACATCTTTCTCTCTACACTTCACCCTTCCCTAATGTCCCCTTACTATCTCTAATTCTTCCCCTTTTGTACTGAATACATACATTATATACCTAAATATAGTGAAAAAATTTAAATTGGGTCGCATAGGAATGCCATACAACACTCTGTATACTAAGCCTTCGGTACGCAAGGAGGCAGCATGGCCAGTATTGCACTCGACTGCATTCTCTTCCCCAAGTTGTAAACTTAGGTATCCATTTACAGTTGGGTGACCTGGGAATGCCCTAGGATTAAATTACCGACCCATGGAACAGGAGGTGAAATCATACATGGAATTTTTCTCAATGGTAATTATTGTACTCGCCAACTACAGTATTGTTTTCCGAGGTTATTTTCTGGTGTTTTTGTGTTATTCTGGTCATACTCAAGTAGTTAATACCATTTAAATTTCAAATCTGAGAGAAATGTCATATTTGGGTGAAAATGCCTGTTAGGTTAGGCCAAGTGAGGTTAGGTTATGTTACCTTATGTTACATTAGGTCAGGTTAGGGCAAGTTAGGTTAGATTTGGGATATCATTGTACAGTAAAGCAGAACCCTACAAATTCACACAGAATAATCCTTGATTGTTGGTCAGTTGCAAAACAACAAAACAGATTCAACCATCTTAGTTCTAACCCTTTCAGCTATATCAATGGGAGGTTCCCTGAATCACACAACCCCAGCTCAGTAAGAAAATGGAACTTATAGCAAAATTAAGGCTCAATCCACTGAGTCTAACCTAATGCTGGTCTTTTGTGACTCCTGTATAACAGCTAGAAAATACAGGCAGGAGGCTAAAAGCTCTAAGGAGTACAGTATTGTCCAGGGATAATACCAGCATCACTAAGTCTCATCATTTTTATTGGAAACAAAAAATCACTTATATTTATAAAAACTGTGCACTGTATTAGTTAGTACCATAACCTTCATCCTTTAACACTGACAAAAGAGAAGCGAGCCATGTGTCCTACCTGAAGAAGTAAACATGATTCTTAAACTGAAGCTTGAAGACAAACTCCTTCTGGATCTGGTCATCCTCTCCCGGTGTGGTGATGGTGTACCCCAGTAGTGGGAGAGATGCCAGGGGGAAGTCGTCCTATGGAATATAAGTAAAAGCTGAAGTACACTACGGGATATATATTACACTGAAGTACATCAGATGCAAGTGATAACAGACCTTTATAGATATAGGAAATATTTACACATGCTGTAACTATAGGAAATATAAATATATGCTGTATTAGACATGTACACACACAGGTGGTAATGTACAAAACAGCATCATCAAAGGTCACTCACTTGGAAGGTCTTGTAAAAGAAGAGGCAGAAGTTGGTGAAAACAACCCACAGCTTCTGCCATCCCATGCTGTTTTTAAATTTCCGCAGCAGGTACCCACTCAGCTGGTTCTGAGTAAATATAATGGTTATAAATATTATCCCTACATTATTGTTAAGATTCCCTGCTAACATAAATGCTATATACAAATAGTTAATGAATTAATTCCTTTTACTTCAGGATGTGATAAATCAGTGAGTGAGAAACATGCAATTTATTTAATTTTTAAATACCCTTTCTCCTGGAATTGGAAATTAATGTGTTTAACTACTTTAACACATCCTGAATAACAAAATCTAAAAAATCATGATAAAAAATTACATGTGGAGAGTAATCAAAAATCTAAAACTGATTATATAATTCAATCACAATAATTTAGAATTTTATGACCACACATCTTTAATATTAAATAACAAGAACTGATAAACTTAATCCCTTCACTATGGGGAAGCCACTTTTAATATTTTATTTGGCTAATGCTATACAATTTCATTCAGCACAGAGGGGAGCCTGTACAAAAGTGGTTAGGTCTTAATTACTTGGAAAACTGCACAACATTTACACACCTGTACAGCAAGGGAATAGTCAAGTGATGACACACTAGTTGCTCTGTGCCAACAAACATGTACAGTAGTGTTGGATCGCTGTTGAGGAGAAGCACCTTTTTCACCCAGGCCCCTGGAGGGGCTCAAAGGATCCTCCATTGTACTGCTTTCACTGCGGTCCAAGACTTCATCTGATGAGCCTTGTGTGTAGAGAACGTAGTGTTACACAAGTCATATGTGTAATACACGAGTCATATGTGTAACAAGTACTGGTATATAAAGTTTTACTTTTGATATAAAATATTAGTTGATCAAAGTACTATATACAGTATCCAACTTACTTTGCGAAAGAGTAACCCACATATTTGTTTGCAGTTCAAGAATTTTTTAACACAATATGTACAGATACCACAATTGGCAAAAAATAGAAAATAAAATTATACAGTAAAGACTTAAGTAGCAAAACTATAGCTATTTGCTTGATCTGTGAAGGAGTCCTAAGCTTGTTATGTGGTTAAGTGCATTTTACATGGAAAATCACTGTGGTTTGTACTCTTCATATTTTATCTCCTGTATTTTTCACAAAAGTCAGAGTTCTGCACATGTTTCACTCCCTACGGTGAGCAAAATACTGAGATCCTTCTGTATGAACTGATTGAGTTTTCCTTACTGATAGATTTTAAGGAGAGGTAGTGGAAAGCATCATCAGGTCGAGATTTTGCCTGAGTTATAGCCCTTGTGAGATCCTCCAGCCACTTAGCCTTCTCCTCTTCACTGTTTGCTGCAACCATTAAGGCTCTGTGGGTTTAAGAGGGATAATAATCGTCTAACAATTTTATCTGTAGAAATTCAAACACACATGCATATTCATACACAAAAAAAAAGGTGATAAACATTTGCACGGTAAATATTTGTACGGTAAAATACTTAAGCTTCCCCCAGTGACATTTGAACCTGGGAGTTTGGACTGTAACACCAAACAACCTAAAGTAACCTTTATCATGCCCACTGGTTAGCACAGAGTATAAATGTTTCAGAAAATATGTGCATAAACACTTTCTCACAACTATAATATATAACCTTTACCTAACCTAACTATGACACACTCTTGGCTGAACAATAACAGGGGGCAGGACACATGCATCAGGCAATCAATAAATCATATATCCTCTAAAATTCTTTATCACCATTCAACAAGTCTGATCAGTACCTGACTTAACATACTTAGCTACTTTCAATTCATTTTATGATTTATGAAGAAATTACTCTATAATCCAGACTTCTGACTTATCATGGGAAGTTCCAGCCAACTAGACATGAATCCAGGGAATTTAAGGATCAATCTTTTAATTTCTGGCAATAATCTCTCAGGTAAGTGGTTCTCATATTACTGGACTCATCCAATTAAAACAAGAGAGAGGAGGAGGTGCATCAAAGCTCCAGGAATGGACAGCCAAACATCCCATATGAGAACTGACCAGTATTAGTCACATCCCTCTCTTAACAAACAGATCTTATGTTACCCAGAACCCTCTAGTATACTGTATAATGCCACGTTAACATCAACAGCAGACATAAAGTCAGACTTATGAGGAGGAACTAAAAAAAAATTGAATTACAAGAGAAACACCTAAGATGATTCTAGTACACCATAGTACACTATCAACTGCAATATAACAATGCTCCTCTGTACTACCATTACACTAATACTAAAAAAGTGAAGAGATTTCAATTGTGTTACTTACCTGTTGCCACCATAAATAGTGAAACAATTAGTAGCCCCCATGCGGCTCTCTGTCTCCTCGACCATCACACCCCGGAGAGGCAGTTGACCATGCACTTTGAATTGCAGAACTGGTGTTGTTGTCCGGTTTGTGTATAGCAGGACGTCATTAAACTTTAAAAAAATTAGAAATAAATACACATTTTAATAATAATACAAATATGATAGCTTATTGAACATTTATTATTTTAGTTTTCTGAATAAATGAGATTCTAAAATGAGAGTTGAAGGACTGAAGTACAGCAGGTGTTGTCTAATGGTAGACCCTGCTGCCATTATGGCATCACAAAAATTGTGACCAAGTCCCAAGTTGCTGATCTGACTTTCTGCCTCATTTACACACAATTACAGGGTCTCAATTGTTTCTCTTACTTTGACAACACAACATACATATTGTTACGACCCTCCTCCTTTCACAGCTTACCCAGCTTCCACCGCTGGTTACCGGCGGCCAGGGTCGTATGTACAGAGCAGTAGATATCTCACAAGAATTGTCGAATTACCACTGGCTATCCCGCCAGCCTAGATAGTTTCCCAAAGATCGGTATTAGTGTATAGACAAACAACAGGCAGGTAGATTTCCACCAGATCACAGAAACACACTTGTACACTGTATTCTTTTTTAATAAACACTAATTCTCCACAACACTGCTAACAGGGTAATGTCTTCACAGCTTAACTCCTCACTTCAGCACACTATCAGTTTACAATTCCTTAGTCTTCTCACTTTATATTAATCACAACAATTCCACAATACTTGCACAACAATTGCCTTCAGTTGTTCGACTAGGCTTAGTCTTTACACTAGGAACAGGGGCGAGCAACTAACTAACTCCAAGGCAGCCCGCGGCCCCATATATATTGTTCGCCAAATGCCTAGAATATTCTAGTAATGTCCAGAAACGGGAGGTTGGCTCGAGACCTGCCTGGAGAATGCTAAAATGATCTAGGCTTACAATAAGAGGTAAATCATAACAAAAATGATGCAATACATTCTAGAATATTCTTACATAATTAATACATCAATATCATCAATATATACACGAAAATTTCATTAAATTTGCCCCAAATAATTGCTGCATGGGACAGAAAACAATCAAACACCTAGTTTACAAGACGACAATACAAAATTATGCCTCGGCATAACAATATATTGTTTTTCACTCTTGATATTTTTGCTTTAATTCTTGTAATTATTTATGGTCCTTTATTATTATTATTAATATTATTATAATTATTATTATTATTATTATACTTTTGCCCCCAGGCCCCTGTGTCTGGGTGGGTTAATCCCCATAGAAAAAATATACACAGTACCCGGTATATAAAAAAATAAAAATAAAACTTGTTTCCCTTTTTACAAAACAGTTGTACAGTATAGTCTGGATTTACGCGGATTTTGTTTACGCGTTTGGTCATTTATGCGGTGCCTTGCCAGAATGAAATGTTTTAATTACGCTGTAAATTTCATCATTTACGCGGGAAGCGGCGCGAGCAGGGTGCGCACAAGGTTGCCCAGTCATCAAAACATTACCGAGTTCTTCACCCGCCACCCACCACAGCCGGTCCAAGTCAGTGATAATGAGGATATAGACTTTGAGGGGTTTGACAAAGAGGCCCTGCAAGTCTCTGTGGTGGATAGTGATGCAATTGATACAACTGATACAGGTGAGGGCCAATAATCTTCCCTCTGCCTCGGAACCAACCCCCCCATCCCCGTGTACCCAGCCATCTTTTCTACTAACATAAGTGTTAAAAAACCTAATATTATTGATATTTCTCTTAAATATTAATTGTGTGTGCATACCATCATAAAATTAAGATGTTATTTTTACTACAGCGTACGTATAGTGTCGGAAAAAGTGTAGTTTGGGGGTCGGCCCAGTCTCTATTTCAATTAATCCCATATGTTCTGTTATTTCGTTTATGTGTTTCTCGTTTTACGCGGACCTCCACGGGTTCAATTGACAGCGTAAATGCAGACTATACTGTACAGTACTGTATATCTGAAAAGCTTCACATATTTAATTTTTTCTCTTGATAAAAAAAGCCTCAGGCATGGGGTAAAATACTTACCAGGAAGAACATGCGCTGCTGGTAGCCTTTACGAGACAGTTTTTGTAAGCAGCCCTCTCTCAAGAACTCCCGGCCAGGCTGTATCAAGTTGTCAATTCCAATCAAGTCACGTTGTAACTCAACCAGCTTGACTAAGTTCTCCTGTAACAGAATATACATATTTTTTATAACCAATTCAATAATATATTAAATATTAATTCATCAGAACAATGACAAAGATATTATAAAATTTTCAGTAACGATGATTATCATAACATTACTAAAAACTGCCCTTTTGTTTGATAAACTAATTACAGTATATCTAACTAAGACAACAAAACTTACTTAAATATCAAAATACAGGCAATCGTGTAAAAATTTATGTAACTGCTACTATACTCTTACCTAAATATTAAGCAACACACTAATAATATATATAACTCACAGAAGCAGAAAGAACAGGGACCATTCCCTTAATAACTTGGCTCAGCTTGGCCTTGGCAGTCATACACTCTCTGTAGTCGTGATGGTTTGCACTGCCGTAATGCTTCACTAAACCTGTCAAGTACAAATTTAATCATAAATATTATGATAACTTGTACTGTCACTGTCTAATACCACTTGGAAAGCTCAGACTCTCACTCATTGATGATTCATATTGACATCAACAGAGTAGTGTACCTATCACTACAATTTGCACTGTTATTTTTATTATCACACTTTCACATTGATAACGGTTCTGATTCTAATATTTAACGTCATGTAAATTCCGGAAGAGAAGCCACCTACACCTACAGTTAGTTATCTACATAATATTAAAAGTGGATCATAACAGCATAAAAAGAGACTCACGATCAAGGAGTAGGTGATAATGCTGGAGTCGGTGTAGAGGCTTCAGGATGAATGATGTCAGAGGCAAATAACAAACCTTCTGCATCTCGAAATCGCGATAAACTTGCTCAAATCGTCGGTTCTTGCGGAATGAAGACTCCAAGCCTTCCAAGATTCCATAGTGACCCTCCATATATTGCTCGTACATCTGGGGGAACAACAACATCATCTACTCTACTGTTCTGAAGAATATGGGACACTCTCTATGCTGGCTAGAATTTGTATAAATAAAAATGTCTCCTTAATATCATGAACCTTGGTAGATGGACTGGATATCTAGCAAAGAACAATTTATAATATTCTGGAGAAATTATGGCCTTCCTTACCTTCAACATGCTCATATTCTTCAACATAATATCTCCCACTCTCTGAGATTCCAACTTGTTTGATCCACTTGCCCGACCATCCCTGAAAGAGACCAGAATCCATTAAAATCCCATTAACATTTATAATAATGTAGTGATATCCCCATTAGCCGAAACAATTGGTGCAGAACACTTTCAGGAATGAGAGATTTCCGGGTAACGAGACGACTCTCTCAAAGCCGGAAAAAATCCCCCATCAATGGAATTTTCCTGAATTTTCCGGATATTGGGAAAATTTTCTCTTAATTTTCCGGAAAATGTGCCCTTCGAAATATCGTTCCCAAAGCTGTAATTTTCCGGAAAATTACAGCTTTGGGAATGATTTTCTGCGAAAATTTCAATTCTGGCTATCGGAAAGTTCCGGGTTTGAGGGATTCTGGTTAACAGAGATATTACTGTACTGGATAAGGTCAAACTTAATACTATAAGCTAAGGCATCTCAATATTACATTAAATCTTAGGCTGTTCTTTCACAAAACGTTTCTATATCAACTCTCACCCAGCAGCTACAAATTCCCGAATCTGCCTCTAAAGCTATCTTCCTTTGATGATAGACTACAGTTAACTTTCACTGAATGTTGGTCACCGTTAAAAGGTTAAAGAAGGTCCATTCTGATATACTGTACAGGACTACAGTGAGGCAGGCAACTATCAGGCATGGGAGTTGCCAATGACCATAATTTGGCCAATAACTGGAGCTGTCCTATTCTTCTCACAGAGCAAGAGTCGTGCAACAATCTCTCCTCACATATTCAGTCTGACAGCAACCGTAGAATTTACAATACGAAGGAGGTGTTGGAAATATGTATATAATCATCCCAAAACCTATGACCAGAGAGAAGGGTTTGAACACTTACCATTGTGCCAGTCGGGTGTCAAGTTCTTTAAGAAACTGTGAATGGAACTCATAGATGGGGTCAATCAACTGAAACAGCTGTGACAGAATATCGGTAGGCATTCCTTCCTCCTTCCCGACTTCTTCTCGTAACCACTGAAATGTAAAATAAATTAACTCGTCTTATAAAAAAAAAAAGTACAATATATTGAAAGTATTCTATAATAATTCATTCATATTCTGTTGTCTCTCTCTTGATCTAAATAATTTTTGACTTTGACTTACTAAGATCTAAAATTGACTCTAAACTTTGTTTGTGTCTATAGATATAACATGAGGCCAAGAGATGTTGCCTTGATGTCACTTATAGTTGCAAATATCTCACTCCCAATGTAACTTTTTGCCAATAGCTCAAGTCCTTAAAGATATGTTTAAACAGAGAGAAATTAATCTTTGATGAATCTTTTGGGAACTATAGTCTTACTAACATGTTCACGACTCTTAGAGCAACACGTGTCAAACAATACCAAGAGATATACAGAGAAACCTTCATATATTGGATTTCTCTATCCATGTTATTCGTATGGTCCCTCGATATAATGGACTTTCATCTCTATATAGTCAGTTAGATGGAGGTTTCACATCAAACACACCCTTGATATAAACAGAATTTTCTCTCCTCATAGCCCATTATATTAAGGTTTCACTGTACAGGAAACACAGTAATTTACATAGGGTAGAAAGTTTACCTCACGTTATGCATAAAACTTACCAAATTAATCACTTCAAGATCCTTTTTGTATGTTCTTTCTGTGGTTAAGATTTCCTTGGCGATAAAATAAGCCTTATCACTTGGGTACTTTCTTTTCCTAGACTCTCCTTCCATCTCTCCAACACGCGAGGGCGATACTGACTTGTCATGACCATTTGGGATGGAGTCCACCCTGGGAAGAATAAATCAGCCTCATTTAACTACTTTAGTTGTGACATCTAAACTGTGTAAAAAAAATTTATCATAATCTTATCCCATATTTAACCACTTTGTTATTGGGATGCCACTACACAAGGTGGTTAATACAACATGGTTATATGCTTCTCTTGAGCCAAATATTCCACGCATATCTGCATGTACAGTATATAGTATTAATGTACTACCAGATGTTTCCCTAAAATTCTCTCATACAGCAGAGCCTTGGAAACATACCTCCTGTTTTCACTGTTCACAAGTTTTCTTCATAAGATGAATTTACTAAGGAACTCTGAATATTGTACTAAGTAACATAGTCCATCATGAACAGCATGATGGATGATTTTAAAACATTTTATGTATAGACAAATACAGATGTAGACTCACTCCATAAAAGTATCTTTACGATTTTATGTATACAACGGACGAAAGATTTTGACAACACTACCGAGAGAACAGGAGTCGCGGTGTTCATTTTTAAATTCATTTGACCCCCTCCGTAAAGATGCTTTTTGAAACCGTTGGCAATTTCCAAAAGGTCTCAAAAGCATAATATAAGGGAGTTACACTTTACAAGGGGGGTTATCTCCAGGTAAAAGAAATTAAAAACATTACAAACTTCCTGTAATGTATTTTACCAACCCATCGAAGAGTGTTGTTAGGTCGAGTACGTTATATAGTAATGAATCCTAAACTACACGAAACAGTATATTTAACACAGTATCCGCAGCAGTCTCTCTCTTCCCACACCCGAGACCCTAAACTTACCTGTTATTTACGTGATTCGAGAGGGGAATATTCTCCTTGTGTGCTGAGAGTGGCGTAGTGTTAACTGGTGAAGTGTTGAGGGTAGGAGAGCTGCTGACCGACTGCTGCTCCTGAATCACGTTAGCTGTTGGGGAGGTCGGGGCGTGAGGGGGCGGCACTGGGACTTCTTCGCTGACCTTCTGAGTGTCGGCTGGAGGTGCTGCCGTTTGCACTTGCATTGAATTGGTGGCTGTCAGGAGAATAAAGAAATTAACCACAACTGAATATATAATAATTTCTGTAAGTAAATAAAATATAAATACAAAACTTTCAGGATAAATGAAACTGATATTGGTATTTAATTTTTCACTATGCTGCAATTTAATATTCTGATATGACTCGCCAATAACACCCGAGGTTATAAAAAGGTAACTTGAAGCTTCCACTACATACATTAACCTGTATTATCAAGGCTAGTACAATATTATTCTGCAGCTCAGAACATTTACCTAAAGCAGAAGTCATCCCAAAGATTACTTACAGAACTACACAACAAATTAAAAGATTAAACTTGAAAGCTTACAGAGGTGGGGAGGGGAGGGTCTCCTATGAGCACAATGGGCTCGACTGGGAATCCCTGAATACCAGACTATAATTATGAAGCATATACTCCCTGGCCCAACTTCATGCAATGTGGCTTATTTATATTGTATATACAGGAAGAAGAACCCATATTCTTTTTTTTTCAGACATACATATAAAACAAAATTAATAAAATAAAATAAGTGTCATACAAAGCAGTAAGAACAAAAATATTACATTTATACCAGAGATCAAGAGTCCTAGAAAAAAATCCTGGAATCTATTACAGTACAGGTATACGTATAAACAAAATCTGTCAAAAGTCATAATAAGAGGCTGGAAAGTTGAAATTATTTGTAAGATAAGATAAGATATAATAATAATAATACATGACCATGCATAAAACCTATTTCCAAAAAAACAAATTAAATACCAGAAAAAAATATCTTAAAATATAACTCCATACAATAATTGGCCAAGTCTCTCGATAATTAGAAAAAAAATAAAAATTTATGATGTGTCTATTGATGTATGTGTGTGTACATAAAAAATATCAATCCCTAAGTATGCACAGTTGAATGTGTCAAGTTTTGTGCATACAGTAGTACTGACAAATGTGTACGTGCAAAATATGATAAAAGATGAGAATATAAAATGTGAAAATATGAGCACATCAAAGACTTCAAGTCATTTCTAACACTTGTACTGTAGAAGTAAACTGAACCGAACACTGTCATCACTGTTGGTATATTAACTATTGTATACTGTACTTTAAAATCTGGGTCTTTCCCCCATTAAAAATTTGCAACGTGTATTTGTGTTTCATTACCTTAACTGGATGGTGAACTGGTTTTGGAAACAAAATTGAATAATAAAAATTGTAATTACATAAATAATGTATATATAACAGCACTGCCATGACTGTAATTCAGTTTCAATGCCAGTCACAGTTTTACAATATTACTCATATCTTCAATACATTAATCACAATACAAAGAACTCCTGTCCCACCAAAATGCCTTCTAGGTCTGCTTTTGCATGAATGAAGAAATGGAAACCTCTCTCAGTGCAAAGAAACTGCTTAATTATGATACGAGGAGAGCTGCTTTAACAGTTTAGTGTACAGCACACCACTATTGACTCACTCCAAACGGGCTTTGTATGACTTCAGGATATGAAACTAATCACAGTGAACTTCAGTGCATTTTATAATGGAACTATTGTGAATTTTTATTCCCACGAAAAAACTTACAAAACAATTTCAGAAAATTTAATTTAAAATAAGGGCCTGATCATGTAACCCTTTCCTTTAGTTATACCACAGCTCTCATTACTGTATGTACCTGGGCCAGTACACCGTACACTTAGGCAGCTGGAAACTGATCACCCACCTGACCCCAACAAGTCTTAAAAAGAGAGAGACTGATGTGAAGGTTGCCTTCTAGAGGCAGGAGATCTGATAAAGCTTGTGTCAACCTGATCAGTGAACATTAATTTCTAGTCACATGCTGCCATCTTGCCAAATTTCAGGACCAATCCAACATTTGCATTCAGCTTCCAGCTGATCAACCACAATTTTAGGGGAGGAGGGAAGGTTTGGGTCACCTTAATGTGGATTTATGTAGCTTGATGATCATGAGGAAGCTCTCATTACAACAACAGCTGGAAACATGGAAGATGGTGTAATACTTAAGTCTACAGACCAGGTAGACATACACCAAACAGAAGAGGAAAGAGGATGTTTCCTGAAAAAATGTAGACCCACAAAGTACAGTAACTATGATGGTGTCCTGCAATCACTGGGAAAACTAATCTACTGGTATCCAAACAGAAACACCATGGAAACAGTATCACCTGTTTCTCACAAGGCACAACTGCACTTTAAAAACATCTCAACAAAATATGGGTGTACAAGAAACAGGACTCAAAATCGGAGGCAGTACATCCTGAACCCATCCCTCAACAGAAGGGAACAAACACCACTCTCAGAATTCACTGTTCCCTGATGACTAAGATCCAACCTTGGTACAGTATACTGAACAGCCTTGCATAGATAAAAAACCAAGTCAATGAACAAAACTTTGACTTTCTTCCATCTTAAAAACAAAGTGAAGATACATGTGACTGAACTTCACTCCAGGCTTAGCTAACCTGCAATATGGTTCACACAGTAAACCAAACAAGATTTATATACAATATTTCTAAAAAAAATTACATTAGTATAATATTAGTACAGTATTACAAAAAAAAACCATGGATTGTCAAATTACTAGGATTCAATAAAAGCAAATGGGGAACTTCCCTTAAAATATCTTCTAGAGTGCTCATCAGACTAGGAGCAAGCCCATAGTGAAACTAGTCACTCTATGAGGAAGGCAACTCCATAACTGTCCGAGTGAAAGACCCAGTACAGTCAAGTCTTTTGTTAGGTTAGTGTTAGGTGGATTAAAACTTTACTACACCTCCTGCCTCTAGGGGACAACTTTTGTATTGATTCTCCCTCTTTGCAGGCCAATGAGTGTATGATCAGCCTTCAGCTGCATTGAAGAATAAAGCAAGATGGACCAAGTACACAGAGTAATATGAGCCACCCTGGGGCAGGCACATAGCTAGAGAAGAACCTTTTGATAATATATCCCCGAATTTGTGTACCAGATTTATTTATATTTAAAAGGTTCAACAGATGCTTCACAGTATTTGTTAATTGCAGCTTTAACTCTATAATTACACCCTGTAACTAACAAAAAGCGTATAAGGTACATTTTAATGAGCATTGCTCAATATGCAAACTTCTGATACCGTGTATATCATGTAAACACCAGATTTCAACTTATCTATACTTTATATACCAGATTCAGTAACTATCCTGAACCTTCATTTTTTATTTCATCCCCCAAAAAATATTATAATTATCTCCCTTAAGTCCAATTATACTGTGAGACTTCTGTTGAGTAAAGAAATTTCTGACAGTTCAAAAGGAGCACGTCCAAACCTCCCCATTTTGTAACTATAAATTCAATCCCCCAAAATTAGGACTGAGAGCTCCATAAAACCTATTTGTCAGAATATGTTAAATAATTCACACAAAATAACTAAGAAATGTAATTTATAACTATAAATCTGAGGCAGATACTGTTAAAATATATTCTCTAAAGTTTCCTTTCATATACTGTACTAAGATTTTCTCTTCTTTACCTATACTGTACAGAATTACAAAATAACTTCTTCTTTTTTGGGGAAATGGTAAATTTTTATTCATTTCACCTCACTATAATAGTAAAGAAAATAGTGAACTGTCACAACAAATACAGGCTCTGATAAAACAGCAGTTAACTACTCTTATACTGTCCGTCCAAGGAGTGGCAATGCCTGTCTACTGCCAGACATACTATATAGAAGCTAGCATTAGCACGTCTTAACTCTCCAACCAATTACGTTAGAAAAAGGAAATTTAATCGTTATCTTTGGTCTTTACTCAGCAGCTCAATAAAAACTTATTTCCATAGTTTTACTAAGTGAAAATAATCTTTATTGACATCCCAATTTATGTTTTTTTTTTATCGATGACTTGGCTACAAACTGATTAAAATTATAAAATAAAAATACTACTTGTGTTCTTAACAAATACTGAAACGGGGGAATTACCTCACAGTTGAACAAGAGAAAGTCACTAAGAACAACAAAAACAAAGATAAGATAGAACTAAGTGACAAAGGAACAAGGTTGGAGAAATAAAACCAGAGCAGAACAGCAGTCACACTAAAACAATTTCAGTTACAAGAATATTGTATCATATACGTATACCCTGTTGAACCAAGATCCAATTTGTTTTCCTCCTAACATAATGCTTACACCCCACCCCAGGACAGTCAGTATAGGAGTTGGTGTGTTTTGGTGTTTATACCTGCAATGTGTAGGGCAGCTGCTACAGCTAAACAGTAAAATCTACAGGCCACATTCCAGGCAGTAAACAAAAAAGTATATATAAAACTAAGTACTGGTAATTATATATATATATATACCCTGTAATATATAGGCTTCTTATATGATACATAACAACAAGACACTTCAGTGTGGAGTAAAAACTGATAAATATCTATATTTTTGTAGTAATATATATATATATATACTGTGTATATATATATATATATATATATATATATATATATATATATATATATATATATATATATATATATATATATATATATATATATATATATATATATATATATATATATATATATATATATATATATATATATATATATATATATATATATATATATATATATATATATATATATATATATATATATATATATATATATATATATATATATATATATATATATAGGTGTAATCCTTTCTGTATTGTTGCTTTTGTAAAGTTTAATTCATAAGTCATGCAACTGCACTAATTCTATTGCTTAAAGAAACAAAATATACAAGACAGGTTTTCATCTATCAAGATATTAAATATGCTATTTGTCTACATAAATAAGTATACATGAATCTACATAGAATATTATTTGCAAAAAATAGCCCCTGGTGTTTGCCAAGTACTGTACTGTACTGTAGTTATATATATGACTAGATAATCAATCACAACATGTACTGTATTGAGAGGCATGCAAGACGTGTTTTGCAACGTTGTAGTAAAGCAGC